GTTTTCTTCATTCTCTTGGTGCTGAAAAACAAAGAGTGAAAAAAGAGAGACTGGACAAGATGCAGCTATATTTATTCTTATCTTTCTTAATCCCTATTTCAGCAATCATGCCAGCTGGATACTCAGAATCTGAATCCAAGAGACCTGATAATCTTAAACATAATAGAAAAAAAGAAGAATTTTTGTGAAGAAAGCAAACGTGCAGAGGGATAATGTGTAGGCTTGGATAAGCATGAATTGTGGTGTGCAAATACATGACAAGGGGAAAGGGGACTGAGGATGTGAAGGCACTGAGGCAGCTGTGATTTCTGTTTTAATCAGTTGGCTTCCTCTCTTCTGTTGCAGTTTCAGAAAAACGGCTGTCAGTTAAGCTGGTTAAACAGAGGAACCATATTCCATTAATTGTGCAAAAAGAATACAATTATTCAAACAGTGCCCCCAGTAAAGATATGCAGCTTGCATTATCATTCTGCATCTCATCAAGAGAAAAAGTGTAAATGAATAGAAACATCCCATTTTCTGAACTTAATTTATATGCAATTAAATTTGTACAAATCAAGGTAGTTTAAGAGAATGAGTGAAGATGAGACAACAGAAAGCATGGAGAACAAATCCCAGCATCAATTACTGCTTTACACAAAGGGAAAGTATTAATGATATTTTGCTTTAATTGCACTCTGCAATGGAATAGGAATAATTCTTACTCCTGTACTTCACTGGGCGATTTACAGAATTAAACTGCAAAGCCATAACAAGGCCGGACCATAAATTCTAGAGCAAGGAGTCAGTCTGAGTTGCCTTCAACTCAACTTTCCATGAACTCAAAGAGCCCTTGTACTCCAGGAGCTTCCAGAAGCTTCCTGTCATGGACTCTCTGTTCTCAGTTCAGGGTTGCTGTTGAGGTCAAGAGATGCAGGCTATCTTATTCTTTATGATTTCAAATTTGCTGTTCCCCATACAGGATTATACTGCATGGCCCCAGAAGACATGAAGCCACAGAGCGAGAACGCCTCTGGGGTGTGCAGCAGCAACACACTACCACCCCAGGCTGAAAATTGTATTCAGTCCCTTCATTTTCTGTTGGGTACCTGCACTGCACAATGATATGAGCTGCATCCTTAGCTCATACTTTTTCTGAAGATAAACTCATTGATTGCAAGCATAAATTTCTGAGGGAACCAGATGCTATGTGTGTGGGAGCAAATGTCCAGTCCTAGATGAGTAGCATGCATGGTCCTCAGAGTGTGATATTTGTCTTGTGGTGTTTAATTTCAGAGCGTACATCCATGATTAATGACAAATGTGTTATTTATTTTAAAGTCTCAGCTATAACAGTTGGGATTCAGTAGATTTTTGTAGGACATTATCTGCAGCTGATTCTGGATTGCACTTATAGCTGAAACTTTACATTTCTTCTGAAACTATAATGGACTTCAAATGTAAATATCTCCAGAATATAATTAAGACCATCTGGTAGAGGGAATTGATTTTGGAAACAGTTTTGCTGGAAGGGAAGCCAAATTCACTCTTGGGAGTAGGGTCTCTAACAGTGTTTCCTCTTCCTCTAAAATAATAGTATGAAGTAAAACATTGTGGGAGGTGTCAACAAAATCTTAATTTGATGTACAAGGGCTGAAAAGCCAAATCTAGGAGGAGAATCATGGAACAAAAGTGTGTTTACACAGATGCTGGATTGTCTCCAAAACCTATGAAAATAAAGCTAAATCCTCTCAAGGCTGAACAATGGCACTGAAATGAGGCATCAAAGAATAATTAATATACGTTAACTTGCTCCCACCCACTATCACACTATGTGGGATTTTTTCCCTCTACAAGCACAAATAATCAACAAACATAGTGCAAAGTGTTTCTAATCCATTCATCGTGTCAGCACATACTCAGGCAGGGAAGGAGTCACCAACAAAGGTTTAATTGGAGCTGGTCTATATTACTGGTTTTATTTTTTCAAACCAATTTTAAGTAGAATACAAGCCCTTTATAAGGCAGTTCCTTCATAGAAGTTAGTTTGATGCATGAATTTTTGTGTAAAATCTGCAGGTATCATCTGAGCTGGAGACTGGCCCTCTGACAACTTGCTCAGGCAGGGACTGACACCCCAGGATGAGCTGAAATAGGGCTCATAGGCAGGGGTCAGGGGAAGCCCTGTGGTCAGACCCTTTGGGGCACTTATTTTCAGCATCTAATGTTAATAAGAGTTGCTTTGAATTGAATGTTTTATGAACAATGGAATATATTGGACATAATATTATGTAGAAGTAGGTAAGGTTGTTTATTGTTCATACTCACTAAAATCAACAATACCAGATTTTTAGGTTCTAATGTGAAAAAAAAAAAAAAAAAAAAAAAAAAGAGTGCCTATTCAATGATTCATTTTCTTTTTGGATGTTTGAGTCTCACAGTTAATATTGCCCAACTAGCCATTGGCAGAGCAAACCTATCTTCCTACACTTGACCTCCAAACTTGAAGAAATAATCACTGCCTTTTTTTAGGACAGCTGACAGCTAACAGTGGGACCATAACCTTGAAAACTGAGAGATTTCCCATCATTGACTTTGTTTTTTAAAAAAAACTTTGATCTGAAGTGCATGTGTGAGGTAGGGAAGGGAGAGGAAGAGGAAAGGCCAGTATTAATTGCAGAGGTTTCAGGCAGAGTAGGATAACAATTTTGAAATAAATCATATAACCAAATCATAACAGGAAAATCTTTGATAGTCTGAGCATTGTATAGAGCCACTACACTCTCCCCAAAGCACAGTTCTATTTCATTAGTGTTACTGGAAAGCTCGGACAAGAGATTTCCCTAATGCTGTAGAATGTCTGATCTAAATTGTTAAACAACTTCATTTTCTACTCCTTTACTCCAGTTCACCATCAAAAAAAAAAAAAAAAACCAACCAATACCCACCGCCCACCGCCCCCCCCAAAAAAAAAATCAAAAAAAAACCCAAACAAACAAAACCACAAAACCCCCTTCTATGGAAACCGCAGAACTACACCAATTTGAGAAAACAGTGAAATATAAAGATTTAAACTGAACACTACTCATGACTTTAAATAAACATGTGTTGGAGTGGATATGGAAACTGCTTCTATTTGACCAAGTTTATTTGCAGCTTCAGTTTGATGATTAAGTTTTTTTTTATACCTCCAAAATATTTTCAAAAACATGCACTAAGATTGTCTCCTTATTCCATAATTCTGTAGCATTATAAAGCAGCCCTACCTGGCTAATGCCTAATTTCTTCTTTTTCAGTTGTTCTCGGAAGTCTTATTCTCTGCCACGTTATGCAATATAGTGAACAGAGAGTTACGCAAATCTCGGGACAATGTTATTCTACACTCATGAGAACATTGTGTATACACGCTTTATGAAGAGTAAAACTTTTGGCTTGTATAATAACAAATAGAAGGAATTTGGAAATTAATTATATTTTCAAGTCTTCAGCATTATAAGTCTTGGCTTGCAGTACTATGAAACAATTGTCATTCTAAGTCTATGATCTAATCTAATAGAAACAGGTTGTACATATGGCAGTTCTGGATCACAGCACACTTACATTGAAGTTACCAGTAACATAGGCTGAAGTGAATATCAAAATAAAGCAAATAAATATGTGAGCCTAAGTAGTTCTGAAGTAGCTCTAAAGACTTGCAGTTTCCTGTTGATCTACATCTTACCATTGGTCAACTTATATATTTAGGATAACTTCTTATGTGTGCCAAGAGGCCTTATAATGTTTTTCTTCCATTTAATGTCAGTGTCCTTTCTATGTGCAGTCTTTCCATCATTAAGGCACTTTAATGATTTATCTCCCTCATCAGGCCAACTATTTTCATGATATTTGTGGAAGAATAATTATCTTTGGGACTTCTAGCCTCTACTTCACATATGGCTGAAATCAGAGAGCACACACACACAAACACAGACTTTATAAGCCTTGTTTCCAAAGGAAATCAGTCTAAAAAGGTACTCTTCTGCCTTTTGTTTTACAAGAAGTGATCTCATTGTAATCAAAACGGATGTCCTATAAAAGACATTGAAAGCTTTTTCCATTCAAATGAAAGATAAACAATTAACACTACCCCATATCAGAAGAGTAAACAAGCAGCAGTAAGTGATAGACCAGTGACCTCAAAGAAGGCATAATGTCCCCCTTAAAGCAGTAATGTTTCTTTTGGAAGGGAGGCGGGATTTTCATATCATGACATGGATTGTTGCAGCCATTCTCCTGCTACTATTTAGTGTATTTCTGATTGTAAACTTACCAGGTTCCTCATCAGAGCAGTTCGTTTTCTGTTTCTAGGGGGATATTCCTTCCCCTAATAACAACAACAAAAATCTGTTTCTAATGCCCCATATAAGAACACAGCATAGATCCTCAGTGTTCACATTAAAGTCTGGAAAAATACTAAATGAAGGTGATATGAAGATCAGCCAACTCATAAAGGAGACATTAAGGGACCAGAAAAAATATTTACTATCATACAGAACATTAAACAATTTGCAAAAAATATGCTCCAGCTATAAATTCTTTCAGATGACCTAGGTAAAGGGGATAAATCATAAATAATCAGGAAACTATGAAAGGGATAAATGGTCCAAAATTATGAGGAAAAGTCATTTTCCATGGTTGGTAGGATGAACATAAAAGAACAGGCTTTTCTGCTATTAGGATGAGCTCAGTAATGATACATGTACTGAGCAGCTAAAATATCAATAGGGTTGAAGTAGCAACATGCTCTGCAAAGACTGATGCTACAAACTGGACGTGCGCACTTGCATAACCCCCAGACTTCTGAATCCATTAGAAATCTCCCCATCACCTATCACCAGTTTTACTTCTAGGACATGTTTCTCTGGTGTGACAGAAATTCACCTAAACTTTTAAAATTTTGTCTGATCTGACATCTCTTTGGAAGAATAGTAGCATCATAGGCTCTGTTTCCCAAACAATGTAAAAGTAATACTCGAGACACAGATATTTCTGATTATTTATTATGGCACTTTAAAGCATATAAACTCCATTGCTAGGTGTTTCAAGCCAGTTTAAAAAAAAAAAAAAAATAAAATAAAATGAGGCTTTAAGTTTTAGGCAGTATTTCAGTAGATTTTGGTTAATTTTTTGAATGTTACTAGACAGAAAATAAGATTTTTGCTAGGAAAACAAACAGTCTTCTCAAAATAAGGCTTCATTTTAGAAAAGCACATACGACTGCTTAAGTTTATCATGCCCATTGGCTCACCATTATCTGTTTTTTCAGATGAGAAATTTGTGGGTTTGAAACATGAAAAAAAAAAAAATAATCCTTGAAAATACACTCTCCTACTTAAACACCAAAGCTTATCTCTTACCCAATCTCCACCCAATTCTACTGACTTTGTAACATGCAAGTTAGAAACAACTCTAGAGCCTGAACTCTGAATGTCTTTTCTATTTGAGATCTTACTACCTTAGCCATTAAGGACAGGGGTCAAAATTTAGCTTGCTATTAACTGTTTGTTGCCATATATTACAGTATCTTGAACTGAAGGCAGTTCGTAATGGAGCCTAAAACCAAACTGAGTTTTTATAAAACCTCACTTTAAAATTCTACTACAGTAACAACATTTCCACTTCATATATTTGACAATTTTATTTCATAGCCTCATAAATTCAGAATAGTTACATAATAGTTACACCACGGCTTTTAAAAAGGATTGCACTCAGCTACTCAGTCCATTGAAATACTAGAAAACAGGGAAAAGGAAAATATGGAGTGTAAAGGAGCTCTGTCCACTGAACTGAGTTGTTTGCAGCAAATTCCTACTGAACATGAAGATGTCCTCATGCTTTCTGGTAGACTCTAACACACTTGACACCATTCATGTCACAGTCCTAGAAGATAAAGAGATGGATTTATTATTTTACCTCAGTACAGACTAAGGAAAAAGATCTTTTAGAGTTACTTTTCAGGCTACTGGCCAGCAGCACTCAGGGATCAGAAAGCAGGACTGAACTCACCACCACCAACTGTCCATCCACTAGTTTCCGTGTTATTATGGTCTTCTTGCCATCCCATTCCTGCTCCTGAATCAAGGACCCATCATCTTTTAAGCTGACAAGGGTCTGAAAGAAGAAGCCGAACATGAATATTTTACCCACAACATTTGATGGAGGCTGAGGCTTTCCAACAACTTATTCCAAAGGAAAAATTCCCACACCAGCTCACTCAATACTGATTTTGCCATTGACTTTTACAAAGCCAGGATATTACCTTAAATGTTTTATTGATCCTCACTGCTCGACACATTCCTGCATCAGGCAGACCTTTGACAGCATGCACAATTCCAATTAACAAGAGCAGACTGCATTCTCTGTTCATCTCTTTGTACACAGGCTTTGAGCTTTTGTGTAACGTTTATCTGACCTTGCAGTAACAGATGAAATGCCAGTGTGTGGCTAGAGGAGGGGAATGGTACACTGAGAGCACTCACACACGGGAATGAGAGAGACATTTGAGGGCTTCTTTGTGTTTAACCTACTTTTGGATGAACATTCTCCCTACTCGTGCAGCAAGAAGCTCTTTGCCTTCTAAAACTGGAGATTAGGGACTGTGATTCACATGTAAGCCTTGTGTGTCTGTTACCCCATTGCACACTGAACCAGGCTCTCTTGTTACATAAATACGAGAGTGAGCGGAAAGGTTAACCCTAGGGCTGAACTGCCTCTGATTAAACATCAATGGGATTTTTTCCACTGGTTTCAAATGAAGTAGCATTTGGCTTTAACGGGGATTTAAAGGTCTGTTGGTTTTGCTAACACAATGCTTCTGCTACAAATTGAAAACAACAAAATACACAAGACATTATTGGTTTCAGCATTTTCCCTCTTTGGAAGTTGCTTAATCCACAAAAAAAAAAAGTTTATTTCAATGAGACTTAGAGACAGCTGTTCAACTAAAGCATTGTTAGTGTGGATGTCAAAACTAGTTTTTAAATAGCATCTCCATCTGTAAAACGTGCAAAGAATTGTGGGGTTTTGATAGAAAGTTTAGTATACTAACCTGAGTTTTCCTGCCATCTAATGTATTTTCCTCAAATTTCTCGCCAAGCTTGAAGCTGAACTGTGAAGTTTTGAAGGTGCTTTCGGTTTTGATGGTGACTGTGTCCCCATCCTTAATAATGTAAACATCTGGTTTGGCCATGCTTCCCATTTTTCTCATGGCCATACCCACACCTGCAAGGCAAGAGGCACAGAGTGTCACAAAGTCAGTTAAACCCGAAGGCTTAGGGCCACACAAGAAATCAAATACCTAATTCCCATTTAATTAGGCACTTAAGTACACTTGAGAATCAAAGCTCAAGAGCCACAAAGAAAGAGGATGTTTTAAATTATCCACTGATGAGGAAGGAAAAAAAAAAAAAACACCTTATTTGCAGGGTTATTCTTTTGCTTCCTCAGAGAACTAAAGTTAAATCCATCTTGCCCTCTAGAGGACTCACAGATGTCCCAAAACTCAGCACTGATTTTTACAAACAGAAAAAACCCCAAACCAATAAATAGGAAAACAGACACAAAAGCTTAAATTAATATAAAATTATTCCCTTCAACTTCTGAACACTTTACAAACTCTACAGATGATTTTTAATTGACAGATTAATCCATCTGTATATTTACTACAAATTTCTCAGTAAATACTCTTCCATCACTCTGTACACAATTGCAAACACATAATTTTTAATAAAATTTCATCTTCTACATCCTGTATCCAAAGTCTGGACTTGGGAATTGGAAAAATCACGATCACACAAAATAGTGCTTACTCACAAAAAAAAAAAAAAAGCGACCATGAGATAAATGAACTTTGCGAATGACTGAAAATTCATCATCTGGAGACAGCAGCCCTCAAAAATCCTCATCAAAAAAGATTCAGTCCGACTCAGCCCCTGCATGCACTGTTTGAGGGGTTTGCTCGAGTCTTTTTTGATCTGAAGGATGAAGATATGAGTAAGAGGGTAGTCAGGCAACAGACGTGAATCCATCAAACTGGAAAGTGCAGATCTGAACCAAGATTTGATAGGCAACCAAACGGAGCAGACAGTGCCACCGAGCCAGTGCGTGTCTGGGCTCTGCAGCTGGTGTAGTCAGAAACTGTCACGTAACAGCACAGCCCTCCTCTGGAGTGTACAGGATACGTGGGTGAGGGCCGAGGCCATGAAGCAAAGACAAAGGTTTCCTTGGGAGGTGGAAATAACAAAGTACTTCCCAGCCACTGCTTCTCCAGACCCAACTGAGAGTCCAGGACTGAGCCTTAAGCCTGAGCCTGCAGAGCAAAAACCAGTCCTCCTCAGTCCAGCTTTTCTGACTAGAACTGGAAATTGTCACACTGACCCCCCACCCACCCCTTTGCTGATATCCAGTCCAGAGTAATCGTTGAGTTCTGATCAGCTACACCTTGGGATCCAACTAAACAGAGATGAGCCACACGTATGTTTTCCACATGTCAAGAAGGGAAATTCAAACTTCTTTATCCTCGAATGTTCTTTTATACAGACCAAGCAGAACTTGAAGAATCTCATTTATGGTACACCAATAGGAGAGGCAGAGAGTTTCCTAGGTAGTCAGCATGAGTAAGATCCCAATAAAGGACTGGCTCCTAAAGTGTGACTTAGAATAAATTTAATTGCCTAAATTGCAATTATAAAAAGGAAAAGTGACCGGTTTAAATTTGCGACCTAAGCCCAAACAAACAATACTCAGTTGCTGCCTACACATGGGAGGTGCTCTGCAGCTGCAGCACTTAATTCCTACTTTGAAGTTGCAACTTGGTACATGTCTAGCCTTAGCTGTTAGACAGGAGCACCGCAGCATCCTAACCCATGGCTGAACTGAGCCGAGCCTAAAATTCATTAATTTCTTCCAAAGTCTCCCAAAGGGCTCGGTCCAGGCTTTCTCACACCGTAACTATCACATATTGACACGCCTCACAAAATACATCTACAGCCGCTACTGCCCGCAGAGCGTAAATGCCTTCTGTATTTCACATGAAGAGCATAAGACCAAAATTCCTTCCTCCCCTCCTCCCAAAGACATTCAAGGCCACATCTTCCACCTCTTGAGAAAACATCCCAGCTTTCAGCAGTGAATAAATTGCAGAAAACAACAGTTCCTGGGCTACACAGACATTGCAAGCTATCTGTCAATCACCTGTTGGCCAGGATGCTCATGGGGAAATGGGAAATCTGAGCTTGCTGGGGCGGCTCCTGGTGTTAGGTCTGCCCTCGATTCAGTAACTTTGTGTTGCAAAATGTAGGGCAACCTGGAAACGGGGGGATAACAAGCCAGGACTATCCCCCCGAGATAAAGCTGCTACCCACGGGAGAACGCAACCAGCCCCCCGGCAGCGCAGCCAGCTGCCGGTGACCCACCGGCAGCTGATGCAGTTTGGCTTTGTCACGAGCAGACACCCCGAGGTGACCTCACGGGGCGGCAGCCCCGGCCCCGCGGGTCCCACCGCCCCGGGCTGCCCCGGCTCGCCCCGCCCGGGGAGCCGCCGGCGGGAGGGGGCGGCTGGGCGGCCGCGGCACCGGCCGGCGGGAACGTGCCCGCTGGCACCGGCACCTGCCTCCCGGCAGTTACGGGGCAAAAAAAAAAAAAAAAAAACAAAAATAAAAATAAAAAAAAATAAATAAAAAAGGCTTGCCGACATCTTTGGGACGCGGAGCCGGAGGCCGCGCCTTGCCCCGGGAGGGAGGGTCTGCTCCCGCCCGGCGCTCCCTCGCCCGGCGCCGGGAGGGCGCGGAGCCCCCCCGGCCCCCCGCCCCTGGCCCAGCCGCACCCCCCGCCCCGGGCCCGGCTCCGGAGCCGCGCACCGACCGACCCCCACCCCCCCCCCGGGGCCGCGCCCGCCGCGGACCTTGGACAGAGCCTCGCCGGCCGGCGGCAGCGGCACGTCCCCGGGGCCGGCATCCCTCCCTGCCCCCTCCCGGAGGCGGAGAGCCGGCCGCTCCTTACCCAGCTCCTTCATATACTCGTCGAAGCCCTCGCTGGAGACGAGGCACCATTTGCCTAAAAACGCATCGAGGGCCATGGCGGCGGGGCTGGCGGTGTCCCTGGGGAGGCGCGGAGGCGGGAGGACGGGCTGCCGTGGGGGCCGCGGCCGCTTTTATAGCGGGGCCGGCTGCCTGGGCCGGCGGGGAGAGCCAATGGGGCGCCCGCCGCGCCCCGGCCCCGCGCCCGCCGAGCCCCCGCCCGCCCGGGCCCGCCCGCGGCGGCAAGAGCGGGCACGCCGCGCCGCTGCCCGCCCTCCTCCCGCACACGCACACGCACACGCACACACACACGCACACACACCCACACCCCCACGCACTCGCCGTCTGCGCCCCAGAAGCGGTGCCGAAGCCACCCCGCCGGGGGATGCCGTGGCCCGGAGCCCGCTTCTTCTGACCCCAAGGAGCACCCACTGCAGAGAAAGAGGCCAGTGCGCCGTGCTCCGGCACCCCTGGGGTCCAAAACCAGTCTCCAGGATTTGGGGTCCAGGGAAGTGTTTTTAAGCGTGGGGCACCGAGTTATAAATTAAGCCGTTTATTACATATCATGCTTTTTATGGTTAATTCAGGAGCGAACATCATGTGGCACAGAGACAGAGCGATAAGGAGTCAGCATCCCAAAGCGGTTCATCGGGGTTTGCTTGCGGGCCTTTCCAGCATCCCCCAAATCCTGCCAGTATATCACCTATTACTGAAGGTCCGTAGCTTGCTGCGACCTGGGAGCAGCCCGGTTACATGCACACAGTGATCAGGTAGCAAACAAGGTCAATCAAAATACAGAACTAACGCAGGTGCTTGCAGTACACAGAGAAAAATCAGAGCCTCAATGCAGCTTCATGCTTTAGCACTGGAAAAATGCAGATTTGATACCTTGGTTTTAGTGTGTATTGAACTGTGACACTGTAATTCCTACTTCTCAAAGGAAAACACAGCAACTGCCATTACTGTACACTGGCACAGAAGTACCATCATAAAATATACATTGTGACCAGGCCGCATAAGGTTTGGGCCAATCTTCTGTCAAAGTCTGTCAGGTGAACAGAGAGATTTACGGTCATATTCTGGGTGAAAGCTGCTATTTTGAAGTCACAACAGAAATCCTGATTCCAATGTATCCCTGAGATTTGTTTCCAACATCAGGGTTATGCCAGTCTCTGCCCCTTTTGGCCTTGTATCAGACTGGATGAAATAGCTGCTTTCTCCTGGCCAGAAAAATAAAAATCTGAAGATATGCCTGGTGCCTGGAGTCTTTTGATGGAGTAGCTGTGGCTACATTTCTTTGCTAGTATTTTTGTGGAGGAGTCTGAGATCAAGGTGTCAAAACCAGAGAAGAAAGCAAGGTCTCCGTGCTGGTTCCAGCATTTCATGTGAGAAGGTGACGTGAATCCAAATGTTTTGGTGCAAGGAGGACACCTCTCTCCACACTTTGCAGTGATACAATTTAGCCAAGTTAACCTGAATCAGTTTGAAGTTTCCTAGAAAAGGTCAGATTTGTCATACACTAAGTAATCAGCTCATTTTTAACTGAGGTTTTTTAAAAAATCCTTCTGTTTAACTATCCTTCCCCACTGAGCTGCCTTTAATTACCTTCCACTTCTCTGACTATATGCTTGCTTTTAATATGCAAACAACACTATAGCGTCTGCTCATAAGGCAGCAAGCCACGTTGCTTTTTTTTTTGTCATTAAGTAGGTACATTGAAACACAAGACTTTCAACTTCCTTCAACTTTTATCTGTTGTTTTTTGTTTTGTTTTGTTTTGTTTTTTTCCTTGTCTCATGCAAGAGGCTTCTTTTCTGGTTGTTTACAGAAAGGATAAATTAAAAGCAATTACATCAGGGTTAAAACAGAATCATCTTTCAGGAATTAGGAAGTCTTCAGTCTTGTAAAACAGGGACAATTTATAGAAATAGAAATCCTGGCTTTACTCTGTGTATGCTAGCAAAGAATCTCAGATCCGCATTTCTGCAGTGCTACCTGCAGATGGCTTACCATATGCAAATAGTGTTCAGGTATAAGTGCTGATAACGCAGCAGAAGATGTAAAATCCACTATTTCCATCTAGTGGTGAGACAATATTCCTGGATCTGAAGTACATGGAGATCCAGCTACTTACCTGTACAGAACGTTGCTATGTTTTTGAATCCTCCCACAAGTCATTTGGTTTGATTTATTCTCCTTACAAATTTTTCAGGCCTAGGCATGTAAGTTCATTAAGACGCAAGAAGAAAAGAGAATCTTATCTCTCTTTTCTGAAATGCAGACTGTTGGCATACAGTGAAAAATCTCTCTCAATTTTTACAACAATCTAATGTTTTGCAAATTATTCTGGTGATATGGATTACTGTCTGTGATACTGTCAATGACACATCTCAAAACTTCTTTGAAACAGGATACTGCTGAAATTGGTATCTTACATAGCAAATGAAGTGACTAGAGATGTATCCTTCTGGGTATGGTACAAGTGGACTGGGCTGCAAAATATACATTATTTTTTACTATGGCAGTACTGTACATATACATTGGTCAAATACGGCTCTTACTTTGGGAGCCAAAATAAAATGGTCAGCTATTCAGTGATGTTTGGGCCACAGAGATCCATCTCTGTAAATCCCAATTCCTGCCTGATTTGAGGCTGACATCACGGTCAGACATATTCTGTGTGTAAAGTCTCCTCTTTTATCTAGATACACTCAAAGAGAATCAGCAAATACATGTACTCGTATGGGAAGAGTTGAATCCTCATGCCACATATTACTGTTTCAGCACAGACAGCTGGAGTTCTCAGAGGTTTTGTTCATTTCCACGTTAGACTATACATTGTCCAAGAGAAGGAGAATCAAATTTACAATGACAAGTATAAATTTGTCAGTGGAAATTAGGTGCACGGAAAGCACGTAGCAACAGCTGGGAGCAGCCACCACCTTGGCAGCTTAGGTCTGCCAGGGTGAATGTTTTCCAGAGGTAGTCAAGCCCTTGTGCCTCGTAGGAGGGGAGGATATTACAGTCCTTCATTACCAAGTGCAAAGAAAAAGACCAAGGCTAAAGAGTGCACAGAGACCTTCATTCTACTCCTTTGGGCAAGCGTGCATCGTGCAGTGATGCTTCATCTGGTGTTGAGAGTTGGCAAGCTGTGGCCAGCAGTATTTGAGGTTTCTCTTCATATAGCCATAGCATTACCCACTGAATGCAAGGTAAGCCGTATTTTGTCTTTCAGAGTCATAATACCTGCTTCTTGGGCAGGGCAGGGCAGAGCACCACCTCCTAGTCTGCAACATATCGCTGATCAGGTCACATATGAGGTGTAACTTTTTCCCTAGACCTTTACTCATTAAACTGCCCATATGTTTAACTTGGAAGGAAACCAATCTGATGGTGCTATACTTTGCTTTACTGTGTGAAAGGGAGGATCTCACTTTCCTTCTAGTATACAGACATACCACGTATATATAGTACCTTCTCTAAGCTGTAGGCTTCTTCTAGGCAAGTTTACCTCCTAAGAAAGCCTTAAAAACTTGCCAGGAAAATTGGACACCGCAGCCCGAATTTTACTCTTCAGCCTATCCCTAGCTGTGAAAAAAATTAAAGCAGTCCATAAATAATAGTTACTCACCCCCGAGGCATGGATGAGAAAAATTGCATAGGTAGCACAGCTTTGTTTCTGTTTCCTTGTTGTACAAGTGCTGTTTTCCCTTCCCAGTCATGTCATCACTGGGCAGACATGATGAAACACGTGCTATGGTTGCGTAGCTGGCCTAGGTAAGCTTTACTCCAGCTCAGGAGCTACTTGCTTGGGCAATACTAGACCAGAGATTATGAAGTAACACACGAACCTGCAAGTTTAAATTTGTATGTCAGTATGCATAAGGTCTTCTAACGTATTGGCATTTCATTGCCTCTGAGCTAAAGGAGCTGGACATAGACTGTGTTTTATCAACAAGCTTTGAGCGATACATCTCAGTTTTCAAGTCAAAGCAAAGCCATCTTACTCTCCGTACTGGCTTAGTCTAAGGAGCATGGGTCTGAGGTGTCCTCGCTGTGTATCTGACCACTGCTGCGCCTGCTCTGGGTGGCCGGCAGCTGGGGACACGTGCCCACAGTCAGTGCCGAGCCAGCTGGAGCCCCGATCCTTGCTGATGCCACGGAGCATCACTATAATGCAACTAACGCACCGGCAACCTCAGCGCATGTCCTGGCCGCTGTCAGCAGCGTGTTCAAAGCAAGTTTAAAGGGAAATGCTTACATCGAGGGCAAAGTTTACGGTGGCAATGGTGTGACAGCTCACCCGTTGCACCCAGCCTCAATGACAGGAGAGGAAGCTCCAGAGCCTGCAGTGACCAGGAAGAGCACTCCAGGCTTCATTTTCCTCATTCCAGACAAAAATGACCTGATAACAGTTCCAGCCCAGCTCACAGTGAATGCAGATACAGGAGCCTGTGTCTAACTTCGGAAGCTTTGAAAAACCCTCTTGATTTAGCAGCAGTATCTACCCTGAATAACAAACATCCACACATTAGTATAAAGATATTTTTATTTATCTTGAGAATTTGATAATCAGCATAGTCATTACAGTGTTAAATGACTACAAATTGTTAAGAGCTGTAGTTTTAGCACTAAAAAGGCCTCTGATCTGCATGAAACAAAAACATATTAGCAGGAGACACCTGCTCAGAGGGGACTTTCAGAAAGATATTACTCTGACATGGCTTTTTAGAAACCTCAGCTGTACAAAAAATTATCCCACAGCTCTATCAATAAAGCCATATAAACCCCCCCACTTTGTCCTTTCTGTGTGGTCTGGAACAGTAAGTACAGGATGTAAGAGCAAGGACAATGAATGGCAAAATTATTTGGAATAAATTAGGAAGAATTTCTTTCCTGTGAGGGTGGTGAGGCACTGGAACAGGTTGCCCAGAACAGCTGTGGCTGCCCCCTCCCTGGAAGGGTTCAAGGTCAGGTTGGACGGGGCTTTGAGTGACCTGGTCTGGTGGAAGGTGTCCCTGCCCATGGCAGGGGGGTTGGAATTGATGATCTTTAAGGTGTCTTCCAACCCAAACCATTCTATGAAATAATGATTAAAAAAAAAACTTTTTTCAACCAGTGATGAGTAATTAGCCTATTAAATTTAGAATCATAAATTACAGATTTGCCTACTGGATTTTGGAAGGGGTGTATAAAGTTTTAGCATTATTTTTTTGATTACATATTATGAGTTTCATTACTAAGGATATTAATCGACCACTGTGAAGGTAA